TAGGCATTCAAGAAGGTATATGGAATCCACAGGAATAAAACCAAGGGAATTCACTCAAGATACATCATACTCAAAGTTCTCACAACTAAAGATAAAAGAAAATGTCTGGCCCTGACTGGTGTGGCTCAGAGCATTGGCCTGCGGACTGAAAGGTCCCAGGTTTGATTCCTGGTCAAGGGCATATACTTGGTTGCAGGCACATCCCCAATAGGGGGTGTGCAGGAGGCAGCTGATGGATGCTTCTCTCTCATCGATGTTTCTAACTCTCTATCCCTCTCCCTTCCTCTCTGTAAAAAAAAATAAAATAAAAAAAAATCAATAAAATATATTTTAAAAAAAGAAAAGAAAATGTCTTGATAGTAACAAGGAAGAGAAGAAACACCAAATAAGGAAAAAAAAAACAATTCAAATGACAGCAGATTTCTCATCAGAAACCATGGAGGTCAGAAGGAAGGGGACCTAGTATTTTTCAATCACTGAAAGTAAAAAACTGTCAACCAGAATCCTCTATCCATAAAACATATGCCTCAGAAATAAAGGGTGAAATGAAGATATCTAGATGAAGGAAACCTAAAAAAATTTGTTTCCTACAGATCTACCCAAAAAAGATGGCTAAAAGGAAGTCTTGAAATGGAAAGGAAATGATAAAAGAAATCTTAAAACATCAAAAAGGAAGAAAGTACAACACAGAGTAAATGAAATAGATTTTCTCATCTTTCATTTTCTAAGTTACGGTCAATTGATTTTGACAAAGTTGTCAAGGTTATTTGATGCAGAAAAGATAATCTTTTCTTTCTTTTTACAATATATTTTTATTGATTTCAGAGAGGAAGGGAGAGGGAGAGAGAGATAGAAAACTTAACGATGAGAGAGCATCACTGATCAGTTGCCCACCACATGGCCCCTACTGGGGATTGAGCCCGCAACCTGGGCATGTGTCCCTCACTGGAATTGAACTTGGGACTTGTCAGACCATAGGCCAATGCTCTATCCGTGGAGCCAAACCAGCTAGGGAAAGATGACTTTTTCAACAAATGATCCTGGAAGAATTGCCATATCCATTAAGATAAAATTAAACCTCAACGTTTAAGCCTCTTGCCATACCAAAAGTTAACTTGCAATGAATCACAGGTATAAAAGGTGATGCTAAGCCTTGGTTGGATAGCTCAGTTGATTAGAGTACTCTACAGAGGGGAGGCAGGTTGAGGGATTGGAAGATATTAACCAAAGAACATATATGCATAGCTCATGGACACAGACAATAATGTGGTGAAGGTCTGGGGCTGGGGGCTGGGTGGAGGGTAAAGGGGAGAATTGGGGGACATCTGTAATAGTCAATAATAAAAACAAACAAATAATAAAATAACTTCTTGTGGAAAAAAAGTACTTTGTGCACTTAGTAGACCAAGGCTTTTTAATTAATTAATCTTTATTGACTTTATTGGGGTGATCTTGGTAAATCTATACTAATAATAAAGGAATATGCAAATTGTCTGGGATGCCATCACAGTAACAGTAACAACTGAACAGCAGGCTGTGTGGAGTGACCAGGCTGGCAGGGGGATTAGTGAGGGATGACCAAACGACTGAACAGCAGGCTGTGTGAGGTGACCAGGCCAGCAGTAGGGGCAGTTGGGGACGACCAGGCTGGCAGGGGGGGACAGTAAGGGGCAATAGGCATGATCAGGTGGGCAGGCAGAGGTGGTTAGGGTGACCAGGCTGGCAAAGGGGACAGTTGGGGGTGACCCGGCCGGCAGGGGGGCAGTTAGGCAGGCAGGCACGTGAGCAGTTAGGAACCAGGGGTCCCAGATTGTGAGAAGGATGTCCGATTGGCGGTTTAGGCTCCATTTCCTGCCTTGGGCCTAAACCGGCAGTCAGACATCCCCCAAGGGGTCCCGGATTGAAGAGGGTGCAGGCTGGGCTGAGGGGATCCCCACTCCTTGTGCACAGATTTCATGCACTGGGCCTCTAGTAAAACTATATTGGTTTCAGGTGAACAATTTTATAGCACATTATCTGTATATTGTATTGTGTGTTCATCATCCAAAGTCAAATCTCCTTCCATTAGCATTTATCTCCCCTTTATCCTCTTCTTACTCCTCCCCCTTCCCTCCGTATCTCTCTGGTAATCACCACACTGTCTGTCTATGAGCTGTTTTGTTCTTTATCCCTTTCACCTCTTTACCTAGATCCCCAGCACCCTCCCCTCTAAGAGTTGCCAGTCTGTTCTCTGTATCTATGAGTCTGTTTTGCTTGTTAGTTTTTTTTGTTCATTAGATTCCACATATAAGTAAAATCATGTATAATTTTCTTAACCCCAATAAATTCATTAAAAAGACTGGGATACATACATATGTACAAAAATTATTTGGAGTCTAGAGAAAGAAAGAAATATAATTGAATCTACTACCACTCCCCCTGGTTAAGGCAGGACTGTCTAAATCAACTAACAAGTACAGAAGGTCTTTAGGTACATCGGAGATCCATTCCTGGGGCACGATGTAATGTGATTTTCACCTGAAGTCGGAACCCACCTACATAAGCACCTACGCCATTCACATGGAGCACATACACAGCAGTAATGAAGTGAAACAGTAACAAAAATTTAAAGAAAGATAACAATTCCTGACCTTTACTTGTTGTAAATACAGTAAATAATAAAAAAACACCATAAAGCACATATGTACATATGTTGAAATGATGAAACTTTAAAAAAATATATTTTATTGATGTTTTACAGAGAGGAAGGGACAGGGATAGAGAGTTAGAAACATTGGTGAGAGAGAATCATCGATCAGCTGCCTCTTGCACACCCCCTACTGCGGATGTGCCCACAACCAAGGTACATGCTCTTGACCGGAATCGAACCTGGGGCCCTTCAGTCTGCAGGCCGTTGCTCTATCCATTGAGCCAAACCGGTTTTGGCTTAAAATTTTTTATAATAGGAGATAGCGACGTAACCATGAAACTACGTATGTACAGTCTGACATAACCCGAGGATAAGGTGACCAGACGTTCCGCTTTTGGCAGGACAGTCCTGCTTTTTAATAATTTGTCCCACGTCCCGTGGCATTTAAAAAAAAGTCCCCATTTTTGGAAAAAATGCATGACAAGCTAGGGAATGGCAGGAGAACGGGAAGGGAATATACTGTTTTTGGAGGCCATGTGGGTATTTAGCCAGGACATGAGTTTTATATTATTTTTGTTAATTTTATAATGTTAAACTTTAATAATAACAAATAACTGTTGAGAACTGATTATCGAGAACTGCTTATCAAAGTTCTCATTGTTGATCAGTTGTTAGAACTGTGGAATACGCGCTCTCCTTACCAGGAACTAATGCTGTGTCTGAACGCGTTTTTTCTATGGTAAATAAAGTGTGGACATCAGAAAAATCACAATTAAGTGTTGAGACTTTGAAAGCCATTTTATGTGTGACATATAATTTAACAAATTTCATGACCTTTTAAACAACGATAGCAATCTACTAAAAAAATTCACTCAAATGAGAAATATGCCAAAGAATAAAATAATACTATACATACATTTTATTTATTTATTATATTTGTAAATTGTACTTATGTTGAAATTTAAAAAATATATATTACAATATTATTTTTGCGTTCTATGAAAATTTTTGTTGCTTCATATAGACCAAATTTCTAATCAAGACCCCCCCCCACACACACCCCAGTCAATGGTGTCCCGCTTTACCAATGTTAAAATCTGGTCACTTTACCCGAGGACTGCCTGTGTACCACTACTTATCTAGCACTGTTAAATATAATACAACAAAGTATTTAACCTTTTTAAAAATGTTATTCATTGGTTTGAGATAGAGAGGAAAAATGATGGAGAGAGAGAAACACCACTTTGTGGTTTTAGTTTATTTATACACTAGAGGCCCACTGAACAAAAATTTGTGCACTAGGGGGGGGGCAGGGTCCCTCAGCCCGGCCTGCATCCTCTCTCAGTCTGGGACCCCTTGGGGGGTGTCCACCTGCGGGTTTAGGCCTGCTGCCTAGGGGATTGGGCCTACACTGGCAGTCAGACATTCCTCTGGCCGGCTGGGAACCCTTGGGGGGTGTCTGACTGAAGGCTTAGGCTCACTCCCCAGAGTGGGCCTAAGCCGTCAGTCGGACATCCTTATCTCTGCTGAGCAGGTGGGAAAGGCTCCTGACACTGCTGCTGTGCTTGCAGCCTTCAGCCCAGCTTGTGGCTGAGTGGGAGCGCACTGACCTCCAGGGGGAGCTCCTGTGTTGAGCTCCTGCCCCCTGGAGGTCAGTGCACATCATAGCGACCAGTCCTTTCCAGTTCCACCCTTAGGGTCATTTGTGTATTACCCTTTTATTATATAGGATTTCAGTTATTTATGTATTTTTTAAAAATGTATTTTATTGCCGAAACCGGTTTGGCTCAGTGGTAGAGCGTCGGTCTGCGGACTGAAAGGTCCCAGGTTCGATTCCGGTCAAGGGCAAGTACATTGGTGGCGGGCACATCCCCGGTAAGGGGTGTGCAAGAGGCAGCTGGTCGATGTTTCTCTCTCTCTTCTTCTCTGTAAAAAAATCAATAAAATATATTAAAAATATATATTTTATTGATTTTTCTCAATGAGAGGGAAACATCAATCAGCTGCCTCCTGCACACCTCCCACTGGGGATGTGCCCGCAACCAAGGTACATCCCCTTGATGGGAATTGAACCTGGGACCCTTCAGTCAGCAGGCCGACGCGCTATCCACTGAGCCAAACTGGTTAGGGCTAGGATTCCAGTTATTTATACATTGTTTCTGGCATGTGCTCTGACTGGAGATTGAACCCACAACCTTTATGTATCAGAATGATGTTCTAACCAGCTGAGCTATCTGACCAGTATCAGTGACCTTATATGTTATCATGGGACTGCTGAGCAGCAAATATTACAGTCTTTTTTTAAAGATTTTTTTTAATTAAATTATTATCTGTGTACATATTTTAACATTCTTCCCTCACCCCCCAAATATTATAGTCTTGAGTGTCTTGAGTCTATGCTCTTCAGGAGGTTCCAGATTAATTTATTTTTGGAAGGAGGCTTGCTGTGGAAGTATTCCTTGAGAGAGAAGATGAGAGAGAATCAGAGAGAGAGAAAGAGAGAGAACAGATCACATATTGACCCAGAGATGGATGATGGGAAACTCAGCAGAGGCTGATGCAACAAATGCCATCCCCTGTCCTGCCCACGGCCAGAACTGGACTCTTACCTGGCCACAGATCCTGCTGAGGGGGGCGTCAATGCAGCTGGATTTTGTGCCCGGGACCTTAAACCTGACAACGGCCTGCCGATTCTGGGGGCCCAGGGACTCAAGGCAGCAGTGCTGGAAGCAGGGCCAGAAGGTGCAGCTGGGGCCACAGAGGCGGGTGTGGTTCAAGGGCAGGATGGTGTCATCATCACAGCACTGCTCCAAGGGGTTGTACATCTCGCCCCCACACCTGGGCGCTGGATGGCACATCCACAGCCCAGTATCTGAACAAGCCAGAGCAGAATGGGCTCCTAGGACCAGTCTTAGACCATGGAAGCCTCCTCCCATGTAAAGTGCCACCTCCTCCTTCTTACCTGCACCATTGTCATCTGTGAGTCCTTCTGAGCCTGAAAACAGGAGTTCAAAAATGAAGACAGCAGCTGAGAAGCAGAAGGGGAATGAGAATAAGCCTTCAGGTTACTGTCATGGGGCCCGAGATGATGCCAATGAGCTTCTTTCATTGCTAACAGCCCAGAGTGGATTTTGAGACGGACTCTGGGTGGCAGGGAAGGTTCTAGGAAGAGCTAGATTTGTGAAATTTGCAGGTTGGGGGAGAGATTGTAATGCAGTCAGACATGCCACAGGGCGGGGGGGTTTGGAGATGGGAAGCCAGTAATAGAGTAGGAGAGAGAATTAAGTTTTAGGTTCAGAGGCACATTTGAGGTGTGATAACACCTACCATAGACTTGGGGCTGGTGCCCTCTTACCAAAGATTCTGGGCATCATGGTTCTGGATGACCCTCCAGAGTAGTTGATGGCAGAGCAGCAGGAGGACTGGGTGTGGAACCATACACTCTGACTTATACAGACAACAGAAAGATAGGGATGGCAAAGGGGGTGGGGCATGAAGTGTTGCATGGGGGAAAACACCCCCTCAAAATGTTAATAAATGTTCCTGAACCAGTTCCAACTAATTCCGTCTTCCCAGGTAATCTCCAAGCCTCAGGGTGAACACTACCTTAGGAGTCTTTTCAAGTTGTGACTTGTTTCTTTGTTATAGGGAAACCCAGTTAGCAAAGACTCATTGGCACCTCACCCACACTTCTCACACACAATCCACCTACACTGTCTATACTTCTGAGTTTTTTTAGGGGAAATTATGAAGTTGCAGTGTGATCTAGAAGCACAGGGGCTGCAGGAACCCTGGTAGGGAGAATAAAAAGGGAACAGATAGATGTAGGATAGACCCTCTGGGATTCATAAAACCAACTGAAAGAGCACCTTGTAGGGTGCCTGGTCCAAAGAGAGGCTCCATCCATGAGTCTCACTGTTGTTGTATTGTCATCATCACCGCTGTTGTCATGAGATAATAAGTGGGTTTTCCCATGGCCCTCTGTCTCTGCTGGCTCCCTCCCAGGTCACATTGAGAAGGTTGGGAAGGTGAAAGAGATGTTGAGCCAGAGGCAAAGCTGATAGATTCAGTCAGTCAGTCACAAGACAAGGAGCCTAAAATTAGAATTTTTTTGATTATTTTTTAAATAATAGTTTATTGATTTTTTTAGAGAAAGAGGAAGGGGGAGGGAGAGAGAGAAACATCAATACCAGAGCGCAACATCAACCGACAGGCTTCTAATGGGGATGGAACCTACAACCCTGTATATGCCCTGACCAGGATTGAATTGGCAATCTCCTGGTGCATGGATGACACTTGACTAACTGAGCCACACGGGCTAGGCCCATCAGCCCTTTTTGGATTCAGACAGTAATACTTACATAGACAATGAAATTAAGACTAGCCCCAGGTGCCAGCTGCCCCTTGCACAGGGTGGCACTCAAACAAAGGGGTCATGTGACTGCAGGATGACAGGACCCTGTTGCTGAGGAGGGAATGTATGCTATTAAACAATGACTGGGCCGAAGCCAGTTTGGTTCAGTGGTAGAGCGTCGGTCTGCAGACTGAAGGGTCCCGGGTTCAATTCCAGTCAAGGGCATGTACCTTGGTTGCGGGCACATCCCCAGTAGGGGGTGTGCAGGAGGCAGCTGGTCAATGTTTCTCTCTCATCGATGTTTCTAGATCTCTGTCTTTCTCCCTTCTTCTCTGTGAAAAATCAATAAAATATATATTTTTAAACAATGACTGGGTTACCAGAGAGATCAATGAATAAATAAAAAAACTTCATGGCAACAAATTACAATGAAAACACAACAATTCAAAATCTATGGGACACAGCAAAAGTAGTCTTAAGAGGGAAGTTGATAGCTCTACAAGCCTACTGCAAAAAATAAGAAACAATGGTAATAAATTAACTAACACTACAACTCAAAGAGTTAGAAAGAGAGCAACAAGAAAAGCCCAATATAAGCAGAAAGAAGGAAATAATAAAGATTAGAGTGGAGATAAATGACAGAGACTAACACACACACACACACACACACACCATACAATACAAAATATCAACAAAACCAAGAGCTGGTTCTTTGAAAAGATAAACAAGATTGATGAACTTCTAACCAGGCTCACCAAGTAGCAAAGAGAGAGGACCCAAATAAACAAAATCAGAAATGAAAGAGGAGAAATAATAACCGACCCCACCGAAATACAAAGGATTGTAAAAAAAAAAAATACTACGAACAACTCTATTCCAACAAACTGGACTAACTGGGGGAAATGGACATATTCCTAGAAAAATACAACCTTCCAAAACTCAATCAGGAAGAATCTAAACATCTCAATAGGCCGATAACTATGAGAGAAATTGAAGCAATCATCAAAAAACTTACAGCAAACAAAAGTCCAGAGCCAGATGGCTTCACAGGGGAGTTTTAACAAACATTCAAGGAAGAACTAAAACCTATCCTCCTCAGACTATTCCAAAAAAAATTCAAGAAGAAGAAACACTTCCAAGCCCATTTTATGAAGCCAGCATCACCTTAATACCAAAACCAGATAAAGACAACACAATGAAAGAGAATTACAGGCCAATATCTCTCATGAACATAGATGCCAAAAACCTCAACAAAATTCTAGCAAATCGGGTTCAGCAGTGCATCAGAAAGACCATACACCACGACCAAGTAGGATTTATCCCAGGGATGCAAGGATGGTACAATATCCGAAAATCAATAAATATGATACATCATATAAAAAAACTGAGAGATAAAAACCATATCAATTGATGCAGAAAAAAGCATTTGACAAAATCCAATTTTTGATAAAAACTCTCAGCAAGGTGGGAAGGATTATACATTAACATAATAAAAGCTATATATAACAAATCCACAGCCAACATCATACTCAATGGGAAAACAACTAAAACCATTTCCCCTAAGAAAAGGAACAAGACGGGGATGCCCACTCTCATTACTCCTGTTTGACATAATACTAGAAGTATTAGCCATTGGGATTAGACAAGAAGAATAAATAAAAAGTATCCAAATTGGAAAAGAAGAAGTAAAACTGTCCTTATTTGCAGATGACATGATATTGTACATAAAAATCTCTAAAGACTCCATAAAAAAACAAAACTATTAGATTTAATAAATGAATTTGGTAATGTAGCAGGATACAAAATCAACACCAAGAAATATATGGCATTTCTATACACCAATAGTGAACTTACAAAAAGAAAGGCTAAAAAAGCAACACCACTTACCATAGCACCAAAAAATTTAAGATACCTAGGAATAAATTTAACTGAGGAGGTAAAAGACCTCTACGTGGAAAACTACAGGACACTGAAAAAAGAGATAGAGGAAGATGTAACAGAGGGGAGAACATAGCATGCTCATGGATTGGTGGAATCAACATCATTAAAATGTCCACACTACCCAAAGCAATCTATAGATTCAATGCACTCTCCATTAAAATACCAATGTCATATTTCACAGACCTAGAAAGAACTCTCCAAAAATTCATCTGGAATAATAATAATAAAAAAGAACCCCGATTAGTCACAGCAATCCTGAGAAAGAAGAACAAAGAAGGAAGGATCACAATACCAGATTTCAAGCTGTAATGCAAAGCCACTGTTCTCAAAACAGCCTGGTACTGGCACAAGGACAGACATATAGATCAATGAAATAGAATAGAGAACCCAGATATTGACCCAAACCACTATGCTCAATTAATATTTGACAAAGGAGGCATGAACCTACAATGGATTCAAGACAGTCTCTTCAATAAATGGTGTGGGGCCAAAACCGGTTTGGCTCAGTGGATGGAGCATCAGCCTGCAGACTGAAGGGTCCCGGGTTTGATTCTGGTCAAGGGCATGTGCCTTGGTTGCGGGCACATCTCCAGTGGGGGGCATGTAGGAGGCAGCTGATCGATGACTCTCTCTCATCGATGTTTCTAAGTCTATCTCTCTCCCTTCCTCTCTGTAAAAAATCAATAAAATATATTTAAAAAATAAATGGTGTTGGGAAAATTGGACAGATACATGCAAAAAACAACAACAAAAAAACACACAAAAACCAAAACAAACAAAAAAACCCACAAAAAATGAAACTAGACCACCAACTTATGCCATACACACAAAAAACCCCCTCAAAATGGATAAAGGACTGAAACATAAGACAGGAAGCCATAAGACTACTAGAGAAATGCACAGGCAGAGAAATCTCAGACATATGCTGAAGCAATTTCTTTATCGATACTGCTCCTAGGGCAATGGAAACTAAAGAGAAAAAAAACACACAAAAAATGGGACTACATCAAATAAAAAGCTTTTGCACAGCAAAGGAAACCATCAATAAAACAACAAGAAAGCCCACTGTATGGGAGAACATATTTGCAAATGTTATCACTGATAAAGTTTTAATCTCCAACATTCACCTGGGACTCATACAACTTAATAAAAGGTAGATAAATGAACCAACAAAAAATTGGGCAATGGACCTAAATAGATACTTTTCCAAAGAAGACAGAAGGGCCAAAATCAGTTTGGCTCAGTTGATAGAGCTGCAAGTGGACTGAAGGGTCCCAGGTTCGATGCCAGTCAGGGGCATGTACCTTGGTTGTGGGTACATCCCCAGTGGGGGATGTGCAGGAGGCAGCTGATTGATGTTTCTAGCTCTCTATCCCTCTCCTTTTGTCTCTATAAAAAAAATCAATAAAATATGTTAAAAAAAAAAACACCCCATCACAAAACAGTGCATTCCACTCAGATGTTAAAATAAAGAAAAAGAAAGAAGATAGAAGGAAGGCCAAGAGACATATGAAAACATGCTCAAAGTCACTCATTATCTGAGAGATGCAAATCAAAATGACAATGAGGTACCATCTCTCACCTGTCAGGATGAGGCTATCATCAACAAATCAACAAATGACAAGCGTTGGTGAGGATGTGGAGAAAAAGGAACACTTGTGCACTGCTGGTAGGAATGCAGACTGGTGTAGCCACTGTGGAGAACAGTATGGAGTTTCTTCAAAAAACTTAAAATGGAACTCCTATTTTACCCAGTGATCCCACTCCTAGGAATATATCCCAAGAAACTAGGAACATAAATCAGAAAGGATATATGCACCCCTATGTTCATAGTGGCACAATTTACAATAGCTAAGATTTGGAAACAGCCTAAATGCCCATCAGCAGATGAGTGGATTAGAAAACTATGGTACATCTACACATCTATGCTGCTATAAAAAAGAAGGAATTCTTACCATTTGCAGCAGCATGGATGGATCTAGAGAACATTATGTTAAGTGAAATAAGCCAGGCAATGAAAGAAAAACACCACATGATGTCACTCATTTATGGAAAACAAAGAACATTATAACCTGATGA